CTAATGGCTCCCAGATTCAGGCATTTTGTCTTTTTACTTCTGTGTATCCCAGTGCTTGACATACATTTGTTGAATGGGTACGTTGAGAAAAAATCAAAACTATCAGGAACGTTGCTACCTTCATGTTAACTGCCTTCATATGTCTGAATTTTTCTCTCAATCTGCCCTCATCCCTTCTGTTTCAGAGGATGGAGGTGTCCTTTATTTCTAATGATGTGTAATGTTCCTAGCCATATATAGCTATATATATATATAGATATATATATATCTATATATATATATCTATATCTATCTCATTTCCTGTTGTCTTCCCAAAAACCTTAGCTTTTCGCTTATCTTTTTCTCTTCTGGTTCTTTCTCCTTATCATTTCCAATTTTCTGTGAAGATAAAAACCTTCAATTATGTACCTCTTATAGCCTTTGCTGGGTCTTGAGATCTTAAGTCTTATAGTCAGTCTACCTACTTTCTTCCATTAACTAACCTAAGGAAGATTTCCTTTTAATTATTTTTATTACAAACATATATTCTGTAAAAATATATTCTGAATTATAAACAACTGCCTTAAAATGAGGTTTTGGAATGTAACACTGTAAATTGAAGACTATTTGTTTTATTAATATGAGTTCTTATTAACTCTTGCACTTAGAATATAGTTGTCTTTTGAGGTAGTCTTTCTTTCTTGGCTGTGTTTTTCCCTTTTGGCTTGAAATCTTTAATAGGATGAGCAGCTTCCTAAAACACTCCTAAAATATTCATACATCAGATATTTTTGTTGATTCAGCTTATGTTTAGTAGGATTATATGGGCCTCTTTTTTCAAGAGTTCAGGAAATGCTGTACAGAGAATAAGATTCCTAGCTTTAAAAATTTAATATCATCTGACTCATCTTAAGAAGAGTCATTGATGATTAGTTATTAAATGGAAGGTTTGCGGTTACCTTGCTGAACCTAATGTTTCCACTTATGGGGGAATCTATTTGAATGAAATAATCTGATGTATAAAAGAATAACATGCTCAGAGATGTTCATCACAGTGGTCCTTGTAATAGTAAAGGCTTAAAAACAACATAAATGTTAAAACAGGGTGGGGTGAGGGGGATGGTTAAGCTATACTGTGGTCTATCTATAGAGTGGAATCATTTAGACATCTCAGGCTTATAATGAGCTTTTGTTGACACAAGGAAATAGATGTTTTTAAATGTGAAATAAAAAGCAAGATGTCAGATTTTGCTTTTGCCAATGTTAGACAACGTCAGATTGTTTTAAACCAAACCAAATATATTGCTGACAACTAGAAAAGCTAGAGAGCATTGAAGAGCTATAAAAGCAGTAAACAATTATGAGGCCAAGTTCCAGAAGATAAGGAAGACTGAGAAGTTAGCTTGATGTTAGAGGCTGCCTTGTCCATGAGATCATGGCTGACTTTGGAAGTGACAGTTGAGAGGCTGAGTAGAGGGTTCAAAAGGCTGATGTCAGGGACGACAAAAAATTGGAATCAGAGCCTCCCAGGATAGAGGTAGAGGGCCCTGGGAAACTCTGGTTTTGGGTTGGGTTCTTCAGGACCTTAATTGTAGGAGTAAGGGTAAAACAAGTAGACTAGTCTTTACTAAGGAGTGAAGCCCAGTTTTTCAGTCTTTTCAGTTCTGGATTAGATTAAGATGATCTGGGAACCTAATATTCCTAGCCTGTCTGCTTGCCAGAAGCAAAAGTGAGCCCTTTCTCCATCATCCATAGCCTCAGATTGTGTCTATAATTTTTTATTTATAATGTCCAACGTTCAGTAAAAAATAACCAGGCATATGAAAAGATGAAATGCAACTAGAAACCAAGAGGAAAAACTGACAGTAGAAACATACCCACAGGATAGGCAGAAATATTTGAATTATCAATCATGGGCTTAAAAAAATGTATGATTAATGTGTTAGAGGAACGAAAGACAAAATTGATAATTTTGACATTTGAAATAAATTCTGAAACCGAAAAACACAGCTGATTATTACGAATTCTGTGAATGGGTTTAACAGCATAGATACAGCTGAAGAGAAAATTAGTGAAGTGAAAGCTAAATTAGGGGAAAAAAATCCAGATTAAACCACTAGAAGCAGAGGATGGAGAAGACAGAAAAGAGTGTAAAAGACATATGGAACATGATGAAAAGGTCTTATGGATTAAGTCACTGAAGTTCCAGAAGCAGAGAAGAAAGTAAATGGCACCCAAGCAGTTACAGGCATTCCTCAGTTTATTGTGCTCTGCACATACTGCATTTTTTACAAATTGAAGCAAGCCTCTTCACAAATTCAAGGAAGTCTCTCTACTCCATTTTTCCAACAGCATTTGCTCACTTTGCGCCATATGGTAAATTCTCCCAGTATTTCAAACTTTCTCATTTATGTTTGTTTCTGTGATCCGTAATCTTTGATATTACTATTCTGATAGTTTTAGGGCACCACAAACCGCACTCATGAGAAATGTTGAACTTTTTTTTTTTTAAGGGAGCTCTACACCCAGTGTGGGCCTTCATCTCAAGACCCCAAGATCAAGAGTTGTATGCTTTAAAAAAAAAAAAAAAAAAAAGAATTGTATGCTCCACTCACCGAGCCAGCCAGAAGCCCCTGAAATTGCAAGCTTAATTGATAAATGTTCTGTGTTCTGACTATTCTACTGACCTGGCCAGCTATTCCGCCTCTTTCTACGTCTCGTGTGGCCTATTTCCTGAGACACAATGATGCTGAAATTAGGACAATTAATAACCCTACATTGGTCTCTTGAGCGTTCAAGTGAAAGAATCGCACATCTGTCACTTTAAATCAACCAGCAACCAGCACCCTGATGAGTCAGCAGGCATCCACATTGAGGCAGGACCCTCAATTGCAAAAAAGTTACAACTCACTGAAAGCTTAGAGGATGCTTAGCATTTTGTAGCAATAAAGTATTTCTTAATTAAGGTATGTACGTTTTTTTTAGGACCTACTATTGTATATTTAATAGACTACAGTATAGTATAAACATAACTTTAATATGCACTGGGAAACCAAAATACTCATTTGATTCACTTTATTAAGTGCTTTATTGTGGTTGTCTGGAATCAAACCTGTGCGGTCTCTGAACTATGCCTGTATTCTGAATATATACATTTGGATATAGATGTGTTATATATTCTTTGATTCTCTACAGGGTTTTTTTTTTTTCTTTTTTTAAAGATTTTATTTATTATTTATTTAACAGACAGAGATCACAAGTAGGCAGAGAAGCAGGCAGAGAGAGAGGAGGAAGCAGGCTCCCCGTCGAGAAGAGAGCCCAATGTGGGGCTCGATCCCAGGACCCTGGGACCATGACCCGAGCCGAAGGGAGAGGCTTTAACCCACTGAGCCACCCAGGCGCCCTTCTCAGGGGTTTTTATTCTTTGTAGGGCATCTTGATAAACAGAAGTTCTTATAAAGTAGTAGACTTTCAATTAACGTTTTTGTGTATGTGTTTAATGCTTTTTATAGTCCTGTTTAAGAAAGTTTTCTCTGTAGTTTAGATAATTTTCTTATATTATCTTCTAAAGCTTTATAGATCTGCCTTTCACATTAAGATCTGTAACCCAAGGTCTACTTTTTTGGGGTTTGTTTTTTTGTGTGTATATGTATGGTTTTGTTTTGGTTTTTGGTATAGTGTAAGGTGAGGGTTTAGTTTGATTTTATTTTTTTGTTCTGTATAGATACCCGATTGTTCCACTACTATATTTGGAAAAGACCACTCCTTTGTGATAAGTGAAGGGCCTGTATATGTGTGGGTCTGTTTTTAGACTTTTCCCTTCCACTAATTTGTCTTTCCCAGACACAGAAATATCCATGTAAGTGGAAAATACAAAATGAGATAGTAGGAATAAATATAAATTTATTAGTCATTATTAACAAATATAAAATGTACTAAACTCACTAGTTTAAAAACAAAGATTGTTACATTGGGTTTTAAAAATATTGCTACGTATTCCTTAAAAGAAACCTGCATAAAACATAAGAACTCAGAAGTTGAATGTAAAAGATGGGAAAAAGAATTATTAAGCTAAATGTTCTGGAGGTTGTTTTTTTTTTTCCCCCCACTTCTTTCTTTTCTTTCGTTTTAAGCATTCTCCATACCCAGCATGGGGACTGGAGGTCATTTATATGGCAAGAAATGGTATCTCAGTTGAGCTCCATGGGGTTCAAGGCTCCTCTGCTCCCAGACCCTAGTGGCTGTTACAGTTCTAGCCTCTCTATTACTTCCCAGGGCAGCCATGTTCTTTATTTCTGTCCTTAAGAATTTTCTTTTTTGTGCTGTGGAGTGAGCCATGCATTTGAAATGAACTTGTTCTAGTTCATCTAGCACTTTTTAGGTATTAGTGTGATGTCTTCCTCCCGCTGCAATGTTTAGTCTGCTATGTAATTTCTTTTCTTTTCTTTTCTCTTTTTTAAAGATTTTATTTATTTATTTGACAGAGAGGTCACAAGTAGAGAGGCAGGAGGGGGTGAGGTGGGGGTGGGGGTGAGCAGACTCCCTGCTGAGCAGAGAGCCTGATGCAGGGCTCCATCCCAGGACCCTGAGATCATGACCTGAGCCAAAGGCAGAGGGTTAACCTACTGAGCCACCCAGGCGCCCCAATTTTCTTTATTATTATTTTTTTAAGATTTATTTTTAAGTCATCTCTACACTCAGCATGGGGATTAAACTCAAAATACCAAGATCAAGAGTCACACACGCTACTGACTGAGCCAGCCAGGCCCCCCTTGTCTGCTATGTAATTTCTGGACCATTAGTCTCTCATATGGTTTTAAGAACCCACCCTTCTAGGGGGGCCACTAAAAATGTAAAATAATTGCAGGGGTGTTATGGATCATTTCTTATGGTCTTGTGCATTTTTTAGTATTTCTGCAACAGAGCACATATTTTATAACTTTTTTTTTTTTTTCAACTTGAAAAAGGAAATTGTCCTTAAGATCCTCCGAGTAATAGCCCTTCTTTTCCGTTTGTTGCAGGTGGTGCGATTGTGTCAGAACCCAAAGCTGGCGCTAAAGAATAGCCCACCTTATATCTTAGACCTGCTGCCAGACACCTACCAGCACCTCCGCACTGTCTTGTCAAGATATGAGGGGAAGATGGAGACCCTTGGAGAAAATGAGTATTTTAGGGTGTTCATGGAGAATTTGATGAAGAAAACTAAGCAGACCATAAGCCTCTTCAAGGAGGGGAAAGAAAGAATGTATGAGGAGAATTCCCAGCCTAGGTAATGGCACATACCACACAAATACTTCTTCAGGTCTGTGACTGCCTAAATGGGTAACACTTAGAAGTAGTTGACTTGGTTTTAAATTTTAGGTCAGTGAGAATGCAAAGTTGGCATTTGATTTAAAGGTGGGTTTTATATAAAACGTTACCTTGGAGGACACTGAATCCCCCTGCCTCTGAAAAGTCAGTGACTTTTAGTCATGAAGATGAGTTGGAGGTACTAGGTCCATTGGAGACCCCACAGATCATCGAAGTGTGGGGTTAGGTGAGAGTTTGAAAGAAGGTTGGGGTTCAGCTGAGGTTGGGTGTCAACAATAAGAGGGCAGATTTTGCCAGAGCTATAACTTATTAGGGAAGTCATATATGTGGGATAACAAGTAAAAAAATAAAGTCAATAGTTAGGTAACTTTTTTTTTTTTTAATCAAAGTGAAATGACGTTTCTTTTATAGGTAACTTTTCCAATAGAACAGATATTGACAGAAAATGTAGTTCAGTAAATATTTGACAGACTCCTTCATATTCTTTTATATTTATTACTGTATTGGGTATCCCATATGTTATTAGTTTGGTTGTTATAAATTACATACTGGGAGAGAAACAGGTTGATTGTAGGTATGGTTGTATTTGGTTTGGTCCAGTGGGAAATACTAACTCATCTAGGACAAGTAATAAAATGTAAATTCCACTAGAGGTTTGTAGGTAGTAAATTAACACTCAAGGAGTGACACCAGTTAGGAAGAACAGTAATTTCTGAGGGCATTAAGTAAGCATGCATTACTCAAGCACTAACTTACTAAATGGTATCCTTGTAGCTTACCTACCACTCCTTTGACTCTGGCTTAGATTCTGGGAACCCTCATCCCTTAGTTAAAATTTTACGCCCGTCGTTATTTATATTAAGTTTACTACAACAGATTACTCAGGTTTGGTCCAGAGTATCAGTCTTTTCTCATTAAAAAGATTTCTGGTGACTGAATTCGATCTGTAGGAACCTTTATAGCTTCTAATTTATATGAAAATGAACTTTATTCCTTTTAAATATTTAAATTTTATGACTTGTTAAGATAAAACCTGATTATGTGGACCCCAGCTAACTGGTGATTTTGTATGGCTGAGTTTTTAAAAAATAATTTTGCTTTATTTAATTTGAAATTTAACTTATCATCTACAGTGAACTAGGTTCTAATTGTAGGAGGTGAAAAGGGGAGTTTTTAATTATGATGTACTGAGGCAGATGCTTTAATAGAGAGATGTACAAAAGGCTGCGTGAACACAGGTTTGCCTGGTGGCATCAGGGGATGTGGCAAAGAGGAAGTGTGATGTGAGCTGGGTTGTAGAAGGCAAGTAGAAATTTTCTAATCAGAGAAGTGAAAAAAAGGCCTTTAACATGGGGGCATGAACATGCACAGGCTCCGTATGTTGAAGGAACGTGAGTGATCTGGGTTGGCTAGAATTGGGGCAGACAAGTGAGCTGTGAGTATAGGTGGGAGTCAGGGCATAAGTGTTCTTTTGTCTCTGGACATTGTCCTGTGGGTAAGAGGCTGCCACAGAACTGTCACTGTTCTTTTTTGAAGAGCACTTTTATAGGGAGATTAAAATACTAGATTGCCCAGTTTTAGAGCATACTGAACATCAACTAATTTTTTTTTCTTTTCCCTGCTGGATTCTTCATTCCTGAAAGGCAGTATGCTGTGTTGGTTAAGAGGATGGACTCTGAAGCTTGCATTTGAATCTTAATTTTGCCATTTAGCTATGCGATCCCTGTTTATTCATCTGTAAAATGAGATAACAGTAGTACTTTATTTGTAGGGTTGTTGGGAGTTGTTAAATGAGTGAGTAAATGTTCAGCACTTAGAGTGGTGATCGGCACTTAGAGTGGTGATCGGCACAATGAAAGTAATAAGTGGGTTAGCTCTAATTTTAATCCTCATCCTGATTTTACTATATACATCGGTTATTGTATCAAGCTTTGTGTTGGTGATACTGCCAGGTCATAATTAAGTACATGGACCAATTTGCCCTTAATAAGTGGCCTCATACAATTGCTTTTAGGTTCTTCTGCTGTTTTTTTTTTAAGTCTTCCTGTCAGTACGTTTGTCTGTATCAAGTGTTATTACCCATAATAGGAAGTTTTTAATACACTATGGGCTTTGAATCCATACAGCAAGGTTTGTACAAGTTATCTGTAAAATGAGAATAAATAAATTTCAATTGAGATTCAGATTTTTTTTTTAAGATTTTATTTATTTGAGAGAGAGCCAGAGCACGAGAGGGGAGAAGGTCAGAGGGAGAAGCAGACTCCCCACAGAGCTGGGAGCCCGATGCAAGACTTGATCCCAGGACCCTGGGATCATGACCTGAGCTAAAGGCAGTGCCTTAACCAACTGAGCACCCATGTGCCCCTCAGATTTTTTTTTTTAACCAAGGAAAATGTATGGCTTTCCTGTGTGACCTTTCTGATCTGTATTTTGGTTCCTTAAAGACTTTTTTCCTAATCAGTTTTTTAAATTGAGATATTAATGTATCATAAAATTCACCCTTTTACAGAATGTAATTCGGTGGTTTTTGGTATGTTAACAAAGTCTTGTAACCGTCCCCCACTATCTAATTTAAGAATGTTTCCATCATCTCAAGAAACCCCACACTCATTAACAGTCACTGCCCATTCCCCACTCCTGCTCCCCCCACCCCCCAAGCCCCTGGCAGTCACAAATATCTATTTTCTGTCTCTGAAGATTTGCCTGTTCTAGACGTTTCATGTAAGTGGACTTGGAATGTGTGGCCTTTTTTGTCTGGCTTTCCTAACAACTCATTCATGTTATAGTGTGGGTCAGTACTACTTCCCTTTTTAATGGCTAGATAATACTCTATCCCATGGATATACCACGTTTTGATTATGGTCATTTGGGTTGTTTGCACTTGACATAATGAATAATCCGCTGTGAACATCTGCATGTAAGCTTTTGTGTGGCTATATGTTTTCCGTTCTCTTGGGTAATACCTGGGAAAGGAATTGCTGAGTCATATGGTAATTCTATGTTTAACTTTTTGAGGAACTATTAGACTGTTTATCACAGCAGCATTTTACATTCCTCTAGCAATGGAGGAGGAGAGTTCCAGTTTCTTACCAGCACTTGTTATTTTTTTTGTTTTTGTTTTTATAGCTGTCCTACTGGGTATGGGATAGCTATCATTGTGGTTTTGATTTGCATTTCCCCAATGAGTAATAATGTAAGCTTTTTTTCATGTGTTTATTGGTCATTTGTGTATCTTCTTTGGAGGAATTTCTGTTCAAATCCTTTGCCTCGTTGGGGTTCTTTTTATTGTTGAGTTGTAGCGTTCTTTACATATTCTGGATACTAGACCCTTATCAGATATATGATTTACAACATTTAATTCCCATTCTGTGGGTGGTCTTTTCACTTTCTTTTTAGTGTCATTTGAAGCACAAGTAATTTTAATTTTGGTGAGGTCCACTGTTTTTTTCTTTGGTTACTTGTGCTTTTGATATCATGGCTAAGAAACCATTGCTTAATCTGATGTCATGAAGATTATGCCTGTGATCATTTTGAGTTAATTTTTGTATATTGTCAAAGGTAAGGGTCCAACTTTATTCTTTTGCATATGGTATCCTTTAGTGCCAGCACTGTTTATTGAAAAGAACATTCTTTCCCTGTTGAATTGGCTTGGATTCCCTTGTCAAAAGTCAATTGTATGAAGGTTATTTTTAGGTTTTCTCTCTTCTTTCCATTGGTTATGTCTATCGTTAGGCCAGTATCCATACCGACTTGATTACTGTAGCTTTGTAGTAAAGTTTTGGAATCAGGAAGTGTGAATCCTCCAACTCTGTTCTTTTTTTTTCCAAGGTGGTTTTGATTATTTGAGGTCCCTTGAGATTCTTTATGAATTTTAGGATCAGCTCACCAATTTCTGCAAAACGGGTGGCTGTAATTTTCATAGGAATTGGATTGGACTGGTACATCTGTTTGGGAAGTATTGCTGTCTTAACAATACTAAGTCTTGGGGCACCTGGGTGGCTCAGTGGGTTAAGCCTCTGCCTTCAGCTCGGGTCATGATCTTAGGGTGCTGGGATCAAGCATTGGGCTGTCTGCTCAGCGGGGAGCCTTTTTTCCCTCTCTCTCTGCCTGCTTCTCACTTGCTTGTGATCTCTCTCTCTCTGTCAAATAAATAAAATCTTAAAAAAAAATACTAAGTCTTCCTATCTATGAACATGGGATGTTTTCCCATTTGTTTAGGTCTTTTAAAACATCTCTCAGCAGCGTTTCTATAGTTTCCAGTGTACGAGTTTTTCACTTCCTTGGTTTAATTTATTTCTAAGTAGGCGTGCTGGGTAGCTCAGTTGGTTAAGTGGCCAACTCTTGGTTTCGTCTCAGGTCCTAGGATGGAGCCCTGCTTTGGGCTCTGCACTCAACAGGGAGTTTGCTTGAGGATTCTCTATCTCCCTCTCCCTAACGTGGTGTGTACGTGAGCTCGCTCCCTTTCACTCACTCACTCAATATTATTCCTGGGCGCCTGGTGGCTCAGTTGGTTAAGATTCTTGCCTTTGGCTCGGGTCATGATCCCAGAGTCCTGGGATTGAGTTGTGCTTTGGGCTCCCTGCTCGGTGGGGAGACTGCTTCTTACTCTCCCTCTGCCATTCCCCCTGTTTTTGCTCTCTCCTCTCTCTCTTTCTCATATAAATAAATGAAATCTTTGAAAAAAATTTTTTTTATTCTTTCTGATGCTATTATAAATGTAATTGTTTTTCCTGGTTTCATTTTTGGATAGTTTATTGATGGTATATAGAACACAGCTGATTTTGTATCCTGTAACTCTGCAGGACTCATTTACTGATTCTAGTAATTTCTTACTGGATTCCTTTGGATTTTCTACAAACCAGATTTGTGCATGGTTTCTACAAACCATGACATGTGCAAATAGAGAAAAGTTTCAATACTTCTCCTTTATGGATGCCTTTTATTTTTTATTTTCTTGCC